ATATATATATATATATATATATATATATATATATATTCTTCTCATTCCATTCACTTCTTCCACAATTACATCCAAACCCAATCTTCTTCTTCTGCAAAACTCAATATTCCTCTTCTCCCAAATCATCACACATTCCTCTACATCCCTTCTCTACCCTCTTAAACACTTTTCTTCCCTGTTTCTCCATGCGCGGATTGGAAAATCCGAGATTGAGAATCTAACGGCGCCAAAATTGAAGCAGAGGAGGGCAAAATATTTGATCTTGGAATCGAGGGGTGTGCAACGATGAGACTAAACGGAGAAATCTCAAGCGGGGAAGACGAAAAGGAGAAGCAACCGGGAACAACAACGTTTTCGGGGCAGAAAGTGGTGGTTGGGTACGCCTTAACGTTGAAGAAGAAAAAGAGCTTTCTGCAGCCAAGTTTCACTGGCCTTGCACGGTAGCTATTCCTCCTTCATCTGCATGCATATTCATTTTTACTTTTCAATTTCCCTAAACAAAGGGACTTCATTCATCCATTATTTATTTATTTATTCATTTGGGTTTTATTGTTTTCATCATTTTACTTGTTTAGCGTAAAAGCAGCTTTTGCTTGCAGTGGTGGGGTTCACAGCCATACCTTGTGTCCTTGTCTGTGTAGTATGTAATGGTGGAGCAATTTTTGCACCATGCCTAATGGCTATCACTTTCGTGACTCGAACCCTTGGCAACTGTGTTTTTATTTTTCCTTTTTTGTTGTTTCTTAAATTATATTAAAGGTACCGATTTTGCTTATGCATATCTGCTATGTGTTGTGCTTTTCTCGATTCTAATTTAAATTGGAATATTCCAACATTTATGCCCTACTTTCCTTTCAATTTGTCCACATGGACAACCCAAGGTCAAATCTTGGTACATGGTTTTGAATTCTTAATTTGAATTAATTCACTTTGCTTGCTTCTCTGGAATGTTAAATTTACATTATTGTCCACTAATGTTGCAGTATGTTGTCTGTTCACTGACAAGACTGCTGCCAACTGGGCATTAGAATTAGAGGAAATCGGATTACGTCAGTATGGCCTGTATATATATATATATATATATATATATATATTACTCCATTCAATATTATTCTTAATTTTATGGATTAAATTGAATTTTTATTCGTTTCCTAAGTTCTGTAAAAGTTAAGACATAAAAAAAAAGTTTAAAGATTATTATTTTTCATATAATTTAAAATAGAGTTAATCTTAAACTATATCAGTGAAGTTCAGCTACATTATGAATGATTTAATGATTTTTTTTCTGAGAAGTTTTACGGTAGAAAATGGAAAGTTCATCAATATTAAGTAGAAAACCTTTCCCATCATTATTTGCTTGAAATTGGTTGTTATAATTCAATGATTTGATCGATATCACATTTCATATAAAGCTATTTAACGGACCAATATTGTTATTTCCTATTCTAGTCTAAACCAATCTCTCCTTAAAAGTATATATACAGGAAACATATAAATTATGAGTTTGAGGGCATGATAAGATTAATCTTGCTTAGATAGTCAGGATTAGTTTGAGGTAATACATATTTTGACCATTTTGCGTGTGGTATATGTATTGTTACGATGAAACATATTTGGTTGGCAGTATCTCTGAATAAAATTGCTAACAAAATCCTCTGCTACTCTCGAGACTCTTAATTGTGATGTGTAAAAATGTCGTACGATGCAGGAACAAGGGGATAATCTTTGTTGCTGTTGATCTAAAGAAGCCACTACCAGAACAAGGTCCTTTTGACATTATCTTGCATAAGGTTTGTGACAGTTCTTTCAGCATTTTATGACTAGTGACGTTTGAAGTTCTTCATATGTGTCGATTTGTTCAATAACAGGCTATTAGCATTTTAAGTTTTGCTACTGTTTCCTATGCTCTATTGTAAAATGACTGGGTATTTGTTTTTTCCAGTTATCAGGGGAGGAGTGGCATGATATTATTGAGGTTAGTGAACTCCTGACACTTCTACCCACTTGCACATTGTGACAGCAATCTTGCACAGCTTTATTGTTTTTCTATACGCACATTTGTGACATTGCATGAATATCGTTAGTATCCTTAGTCTGGGAATTAAGCATGAGGTGGCGGTGATGGACTGGACAACCAAATCTTTTGGATTCTTAAAAGCTTATTATTGTCTGACAAAATTTGCAGAGTTCATGCTCTCCTCATCATGAATCATGATCAGATAGTTGAAATCAGTCCCCAAGTGTTCAAACAAGTGAGGATTTACTTTTGTGATTAATCTAAATAATTTGGTTAGGCATGGCTGGAGTTTGTTGCCCAAAGAATGAATTATTATCTCTATCTATCTGCTATTTGGTTCTTTGTTTCTTAGTTGAAAATGTTGTTTCTTTAATACTTTTGCTAGTGACTACTACCGTACTATGACATAGAAATCAAATTTCTTATATAGGTTACAAGCCAATACTGCTACACACCAAATGCATTCATTTCGTATGAAAGTTTTATCTTTTGATTCTTCAGTCTTCTAGCTGATAATATTATTTCATGATTTCTGAATAGTCTGTAAAGTTTGTATCGATGGAGCTAATTCGATCTTTGTTCTTCTTCCTTTTTAATTTTGAAGGATTATAGGCAAAAACATCCCGAAGTAACTGTCCTTGATCCTCCAGATGCAATTCGACACTTGCACAATCGCCAATCCATGCTGCAAGATGTGGTGGATCTGAACTTATCCGATTGTCATGGTAACTCTCATCTGAAAGTTTCAGAATAGTACATAAATCTTAATCAGAAGTACTAGAATAGAATCATCACAATGTAGCATGCATCTTGGTCTGTTGTTGAACTACTCTGTTTTATTTTATTTTTGCAATGTAAGAAATTATTGGCTTTTCGATTTTTCAAGCTGATTCTGTGTTTTATGTATGGTAAACTAGGTTTTTGCCCTACCATTATCTGCATCTACGTATTAACTACTGTTGTTTTTCAGGCAAGGTTTCCATTCCACGTCAGTTGGTTATCACAAAAGAGAAAGACCCGTCTAGTATCCCTTATGAAGTCACTAAAGCTGGGATGAAGTTGCCATTAGGTATGTGTCTTTGTTTAATCTTCTTTTTCTATCTTTATTTCTTGGGATACATCTAACTTACTATTTTAACTATATGATGGGCATGCATTCGGTCAATCTCTACATTGATGGGTGTTGAGCACAAATAGCCCAGAATATGTCAATGGAAGTTGAAGAACCTTGTTTTTACCTATGGATATTCTGTTATAAAGTTGTTTTACGACCTGAAATTGACTGAGGCATGGTGTCTTAAAAATATTACCTTTTTTTTCTTTGTATTTTCAGTTGCAAAACCGCTAGTTGTGGATGGCACTGCGAAGTCACATGAACTATTTCTTGCTTATGACGAATTCTCTTTATCAGAGCTTGAACCTCCACTAGTTCTACAGGAGTTTGTCAATCATGGTCTGTGAATTGAACCATAGACTGCTATTTTTCTGTTCAATTTGCACTGTTACCTAATATCTATTTTTTTTTTTGTTTGGGGATTGACAATACAGGTGGCCTTCTTTTTAAGATTTACATTGTCGGGGAAACCATAAAGGTTGTGAGGCGTTTCTCTCTTCCTAATATCAGTAAGCGTGAGCTATCAAAAGTTGCAGGTGTATTTCGTTTCCCAAGAGTTTCATCTGCAGCAGCTTCTGCAGATGATGCTGATCTAGATCCTGATATCGCAGGTAAGGCTTAAAAAACTACCCTTCGTCCATCATCACCAAAAAAGGTGTTGCATTTTTTTTAAAAGCAATACTATTACCCTTTTTATTTTCTCTTATTCATTTTTTCTATTTCAGTTGTATGTCAAAGGTGTGCTAGTTATGGACTATTGTTTTGTCTTTTACGTTCCACATGATAAGGACGTGTCCTTACTAAAGCTTTGCAAAATGGTTGATGCAATTAGATAGTGTATATTGACCATTAGAGAGTGTATCCCATTGTGCAGCAACCACTGACACTTTCTCCTCCATATTTGAAGAGGCTTTTATATTTGTCTGGTGATTGTTTGTGTGAGTTACTACATGCATCTAAGTGCTTTGACGCGATGGCTGGAACTAGTGTCTCATTTCTTCTGTGATATTTTTGTTACAGAACATCCCCCGACACCTTTATTGGAGAGGCTTGCGAGAGAGCTCCGTCACAGATTGGTACTGTTGTAATTTCTTATTTTCTTCCTTTTGCAGTCACTTTTCATTTCCAGATGATATATACTTAAACGAAACTGATTTATCATCTCTAGGGACTCCACTTGTTCAACATAGATATGATTAGAGAATATGGAACCAAGGATGTGTTTTACGTAATCGACATCAACTACTTTCCTGGCAAGTATCTCTGGCCACACACATTCTGTGTAAAAAACATGTGACACTTTGTCATGTGTCGATTGTTTCATCCAAATTTGTCTATTCTTTTTTGACATGTCATGTTAACGATAACTGTGATTTTTACGATTTTATGCACTTCAGGGTATGGGAAAATGCCAGGTTATGAGCACGTATTTACAGATTTTCTACTTAGCCTAACGCAGAGCAAGTTTAAGAAGAAACTTACGACTTAAACTGGAGGAAGTTAGTAAGATCCACTTAGCAGCCTGTTCTTGCTGGTGGCTTTCATAAAACTTTATGCAAGCGGCTTTTGAATGCCAATGAGCCACCAAAATATTGAAAAAATGTTGAAATATATAGATTTCTCAATAATCAGCGAAAATTGCTTTTATTGTTATGTATTTGCTTATCCAAGTTAATGTAAATTTTGGTGATGCCAAATTGCTGAAGGTCCGAATTTTCTATTTTTATTCTTCTGGATAAGATAAAATACACCCAAATTTGAACGACGTTATTTTTCCTGTAATTTCATGACCATGCGAGTAGCCAATAAAAAATAAATAAATGATTTATTTAATTCATTTATAACTTAAGTAGTTTCGTGTTGGTGAAATTATTTTAAAATTAGTTTTAAATTTAATTACTACAGCATCCAAAAAAATCATTCTAATATTAATCTACTAATAAAAAAATATGCATTAAATTTTTTATTGGAAAAATAATTCATATATTAGAAGAGAAGATAGTTTTGTAGGAATACTAACTTAATATTAGTTTATAAAATGAGTTTTGAAAGTGTACTAACATTTTAATAAAACTTACGTTATAGTATTTTCATTGTATATATAAGGTTTAATAGGTTCGGAGGTCCTATATTTGAGGGTTCGTTTCAGTTGGGTCCTCCAATTTTGAAAGTGATCAATTAGGTCCCTAATTTGGTAAATGTGATTCAATAATAGGATCTCCGTTAAATTGAGTTAACTCTGTTAACTTTGTTATGAAGTGGCAGGCTGAGGAAAATTGTTATCCTCGGAAAACATGATTTGGTAAGGTTTGCAGATATTAATTATCCTCGAAAAACATGATTTTGAGAGTGATCAATTTAATGGAGATCCTATTATTGAATCACATTTACCAAAGGGACCTAATTGATCACTTTCAAAATTGGAGGACCCAATTGAAACGAACCCCCAAATATAGGGACCTCCGAACCTATTAAACCTATATATAATACACAAACACGTACATGGGTTCTTGATTTCTTGCAAGTCAAGATTTTAAATATAGTACATAACTCATCTAAATAATCAAGTCTAAATAAAAAAAAATGAATTTATTTATTTAACTTAACATACGTCTAATTAAAAATTCGAGTTGGAATAATTTGCTAAAAGCTTGACCCATTCTATATGGAACCATGTGGTGTAATATAAGATATTCAGATATAATTTTTCACATAGATAACCAAACTCACGAACATCAGTTGTCACTTCTTTTTTCTCACTGCCTGCTTTATTTACATTAAAACAAAATGTATATACTAAAATAAATTGGATTATTATTAATAGATAATAATACTTGTACAAATATACATGAACTTTAACTTTTGTAGATGGTTCCGAAAAGAATTTTATTCCGTTCATCGTATGATCTAAAACATGGGCTTTTATTTAATAAGAATAATTGAGATGTACGTAAGTNCAGCTTTTGCTTGCAGTGGTGGGGTTCACAGCCATACCTTGTGTCCTTGTCTGTGTAGTATGTAATGGTGGAGCAATTTTTGCACCATGCCTAATGGCTATCACTTTCGTGACTCGAACCCTTGGCAACTGTGTTTTTATTTTTCCTTTTTTGTTGTTTCTTAAATTATATTAAAGGTACCGATTTTGCTTATGCATATCTGCTATGTGTTGTGCTTTTCTCGATTCTAATTTAAATTGGAATATTCCAACATTTATGCCCTACTTTCCTTTCAATTTGTCCACATGGACAACCCAAGGTCAAATCTTGGTACATGGTTTTGAATTCTTAATTTGAATTAATTCACTTTGCTTGCTTCTCTGGAATGTTAAATTTACATTATTGTCCACTAATGTTGCAGTATGTTGTCTGTTCACTGACAAGACTGCTGCCAACTGGGCATTAGAATTAGAGGAAATCGGATTACGTCAGTATGGCCTGTATATATATATATATATATATATATATATATTACTCCATTCAATATTATTCTTAATTTTATGGATTAAATTGAATTTTTATTCGTTTCCTAAGTTCTGTAAAAGTTAAGACATAAAAAAAAAGTTTAAAGATTATTATTTTTCATATAATTTAAAATAGAGTTAATCTTAAACTATATCAGTGAAGTTCAGCTACATTATGAATGATTTAATGATTTTTTTTCTGAGAAGTTTTACGGTAGAAAATGGAAAGTTCATCAATATTAAGTAGAAAACCTTTCCCATCATTATTTGCTTGAAATTGGTTGTTATAATTCAATGATTTGATCGATATCACATTTCATATAAAGCTATTTAACGGACCAATATTGTTATTTCCTATTCTAGTCTAAACCAATCTCTCCTTAAAAGTATATATACAGGAAACATATAAATTATGAGTTTGAGGGCATGATAAGATTAATCTTGCTTAGATAGTCAGGATTAGTTTGAGGTAATACATATTTTGACCATTTTGCGTGTGGTATATGTATTGTTACGATGAAACATATTTGGTTGGCAGTATCTCTGAATAAAATTGCTAACAAAATCCTCTGCTAATCTCGAGACTCTTAATTGTGATGTGTAAAAATGTCGTACGATGCAGGAACAAGGGGATAATCTTTGTTGCTGTTGATCTAAAGAAGCCACTACCAGAACAAGGTCCTTTTGACATTATCTTGCATAAGGTTTGTGACAGTTCTTTCAGCATTTTATGACTAGTGACGTTTGAAGTTCTTCATATGTGTCGATTTGTTCAATAACAGGCTATTAGCATTTTAAGTTTTGCTACTGTTTCCTATGCTCTATTGTAAAATGACTGGGTATTTGTTTTTTCCAGTTATCAGGGGAGGAGTGGCATGATATTATTGAGGTTAGTGAACTCCTGACACTTCTACCCACTTGCACATTGTGACAGCAATCTTGCACAGCTTTATTGTTTTTCTATACGCACATTTGTGACATTGCATGAATATCGTTAGTATCCTTAGTCTGGGAATTAAGCATGAGGTGGCGGTGATGGACTGGACAACCAAATCTTTTGGATTCTTAAAAGCTTATTATTGTCTGACAAAATTTGCAGAGTTCATGCTCTCCTCATCATGAATCATGATCAGATAGTTGAAATCAGTCCCCAAGTGTTCAAACAAGTGAGGATTTACTTTTGTGATTAATCTAAATAATTTGGTTAGGCATGGCTGGAGTTTGTTGCCCAAAGAATGAATTATTATCTCTATCTATCTGCTATTTGGTTCTTTGTTTCTTAGTTGAAAATGTTGTTTCTTTAATACTTTTGCTAGTGACTACTACCGTACTATGACATAGAAATCAAATTTCTTATATAGGTTACAAGCCAATACTGCTACACACCAAATGCATTCATTTCGTATGAAAGTTTTATCTTTTGATTCTTCAGTCTTCTAGCTGATAATATTATTTCATGATTTCTGAATAGTCTGTAAAGTTTGTATCGATGGAGCTAATTCGATCTTTGTTCTTCTTCCTTTTTAATTTTGAAGGATTATAGGCAAAAACATCCCGAAGTAACTGTCCTTGATCCTCCAGATGCAATTCGACACTTGCACAATCGCCAATCCATGCTGCAAGATGTGGTGGATCTGAACTTATCCGATTGTCATGGTAACTCTCATCTGAAAGTTTCAGAATAGTACATAAATCTTAATCAGAAGTACTAGAATAGAATCATCACAATGTAGCATGCATCTTGGTCTGTTGTTGAACTACTCTGTTTTATTTTATTTTTGCAATGTAAGAAATTATTGGCTTTTCGATTTTTCAAGCTGATTCTGTGTTTTATGTATGGTAAACTAGGTTTTTGCCCTACCATTATCTGCATCTACGTATTAACTACTGTTGTTTTTCAGGCAAGGTTTCCATTCCACGTCAGTTGGTTATCACAAAAGAGAAAGACCCGTCTAGTATCCCTTATGAAGTCACTAAAGCTGGGATGAAGTTGCCATTAGGTATGTGTCTTTGTTTAATCTTCTTTTTCTATCTTTATTTCTTGGGATACATCTAACTTACTATTTTAACTATATGATGGGCATGCATTCGGTCAATCTCTACATTGATGGGTGTTGAGCACAAATAGCCCAGAATATGTCAATGGAAGTTGAAGAACCTTGTTTTTACCTATGGATATTCTGTTATAAAGTTGTTTTACGACCTGAAATTGACTGAGGCATGGTGTCTTAAAAATATTACCTTTTTTTTCTTTGTATTTTCAGTTGCAAAACCGCTAGTTGTGGATGGCACTGCGAAGTCACATGAACTATTTCTTGCTTATGACGAATTCTCTTTATCAGAGCTTGAACCTCCACTAGTTCTACAGGAGTTTGTCAATCATGGTCTGTGAATTGAACCATAGACTGCTATTTTTCTGTTCAATTTGCACTGTTACCTAATATCTATTTTTTTTTTTGTTTGGGGATTGACAATACAGGTGGCCTTCTTTTTAAGATTTACATTGTCGGGGAAACCATAAAGGTTGTGAGGCGTTTCTCTCTTCCTAATATCAGTAAGCGTGAGCTATCAAAAGTTGCAGGTGTATTTCGTTTCCCAAGAGTTTCATCTGCAGCAGCTTCTGCAGATGATGCTGATCTAGATCCTGATATCGCAGGTAAGGCTTAAAAAACTACCCTTCGTCCATCATCACCAAAAAAGGTGTTGCATTTTTTTTAAAAGCAATACTATTACCCTTTTTATTTTCTCTTATTCATTTTTTCTATTTCAGTTGTATGTCAAAGGTGTGCTAGTTATGGACTATTGTTTTGTCTTTTACGTTCCACATGATAAGGACGTGTCCTTACTAAAGCTTTGCAAAATGGTTGATGCAATTAGATAGTGTATATTGACCATTAGAGAGTGTATCCCATTGTGCAGCAACCACTGACACTTTCTCCTCCATATTTGAAGAGGCTTTTATATTTGTCTGGTGATTGTTTGTGTGAGTTACTACATGCATCTAAGTGCTTTGACGCGATGGCTGGAACTAGTGTCTCATTTCTTCTGTGATATTTTTGTTACAGAACATCCCCCGACACCTTTATTGGAGAGGCTTGCGAGAGAGCTCCGTCACAGATTGGTACTGTTGTAATTTCTTATTTTCTTCCTTTTGCAGTCACTTTTCATTTCCAGATGATATATACTTAAACGAAACTGATTTATCATCTCTAGGGACTCCACTTGTTCAACATAGATATGATTAGAGAATATGGAACCAAGGATGTGTTTTACGTAATCGACATCAACTACTTTCCTGGCAAGTATCTCTGGCCACACACATTCTGTGTAAAAAACATGTGACACTTTGTCATGTGTCGATTGTTTCATCCAAATTTGTCTATTCTTTTTTGACATGTCATGTTAACGATAACTGTGATTTTTACGATTTTATGCACTTCAGGGTATGGGAAAATGCCAGGTTATGAGCACGTATTTACAGATTTTCTACTTAGCCTAACGCAGAGCAAGTTTAAGAAGAAACTTACGACTTAAACTGGAGGAAGTTAGTAAGATCCACTTAGCAGCCTGTTCTTGCTGGTGGCTTTCATAAAACTTTATGCAAGCGGCTTTTGAATGCCAATGAGCCACCAAAATATTGAAAAAATGTTGAAATATATAGATTTCTCAATAATCAGCGAAAATTGCTTTTATTGTTATGTATTTGCTTATCCAAGTTAATGTAAATTTTGGTGATGCCAAATTGCTGAAGGTCCGAATTTTCTATTTTTATTCTTCTGGATAAGATAAAATACACCCAAATTTGAACGACGTTATTTTTCCTGTAATTTCATGACCATGCGAGTAGCCAATAAAAAATAAATAAATGATTTATTTAATTCATTTATAACTTAAGTAGTTTCGTGTTGGTGAAATTATTTTAAAATTAGTTTTAAATTTAATTACTACAGAATCCAAAAAAATCATTCTAATATTAATCTACTAATAAAAAAATATGCATTAAATTTTTTATTGGAAAAATAATTCATATATTAGAAGAGAAGATAGTTTTGTAGGAATACTAACTTAATATTAGTTTATAAAATGAGTTTTGAAAGTGTACTAACATTTTAATAAAACTTACGTTATAGTATTTTCATTGTATATATAAGGTTTAATAGGTTCGGAGGTCCTATATTTGAGGGTTCGTTTCAGTTGGGTCCTCCAATTTTGAAAGTGATCAATTAGGTCCCTAATTTGGTAAATGTGATTCAATAATAGGATCTCCGTTAAATTGAGTTAACTCTGTTAACTTTGTTATGAAGTGGCAAGATGAGGAAAATTGTTATCCTCGAAAAACATGATTTGGTAAGGTTTGCAGATATTAATTATCCTCGAAAAACATGATTTTGAGAGTGATCAATTTAATGGAGATCCTATTATTGAATCACATTTACCAAATTAGGGACCTAATTGATCACTTTCAAAATTGGAGGACCCAATTGAAACGAACCCCCAAATATAGGGACCTCCGAACCTATTAAACCTATATATAATACACAAACACGTACATGGGTTCTTGATTTCTTGCAAGTCAAGATTTTAAATATAGTACATAACTCATCTAAATAATCAAGTCTAAATAAAAAAAAATGAATTTATTTATTTAACTTAACATACGTCTAATTAAAAATTCGAGTTGGAATAATTTGCTAAAAGCTTGACCCATTCTATATGGAACCATGTGGTGTAATATAAGATATTCAGATATAATTTTTCACATAGATAACCAAACTCACGAACATCAGTTGTCACTTCTTTTTTCTCACTGCCTGCTTTATTTACATTAAAACAAAATGTATATACTAAAATAAATTGGATTATTATTAATAGATAATAATACTTGTACAAATATACATGAACTTTAACTTTTGTAGATGGTTCCGAAAAGAATTTTATTCCGTTCATCGTATGATCTAAAACATGGGCTTTTATTTAATAAGAATAATTGAGATGTACGTAAGTTGAATAATACACTATTAAGAAATGAAATTAGTGTAAAAATGGATATTTTATATTCATATATTTGTGTTATACACGAGGTAAGTGCTTCATCATGCTGATGCTCCAAGGTTGCCCGGCAATGGGAGTGATGCATTCAGGGCTTCAAGCCCATAGGCTAGTAATTATTGGGCCTAGTCTGATCCAATAACTAGCAGATTGAGGCTTTACTCTTTGCTCGCCACATGTTCCCCAGCACCTCCAAAATTTTGAAATGTCAAGATTACCTTTTGTCATTTTGTATCACAGCAGCAATTGCAGCGCATGATTTTCCGTTTCAGAAACTCCATTCGTTTTCTGTCGTGGAAGGTTCCTCGAATTATGTATTTTACGAGAAAGCAGATTCTGGAAGTTTAAAATTTTATTTGTGATTATTTTGGATGACACTGTTACAGTGGATTTATCTTTTTCGTTTTTACAACTTTTGTATCACATGAAGGGAAGAAATTGTAATAGAACATGGCATTGATGATGATGGTTGAGGACACATGTCTGAAATATCCGAACCCCAACGAATAATAACCATGTCACAGCCATGGAATTAACTAGCTAAGCCCGAGCTACACCGAAATAAAAATAACACGAAGTTTTTAACATGAAAGAGCAGCGTTATATGTGTGGATTCATCGAAAGGATCAAAAGAAAGCACCAGAGGGTCCTGGTCCAGGTGCATATCCTCCCATTTCCATGTGATTAAACCCTTGCTGGCCTAAGATGCTCCCATCGGGAAACATGAAGTTCTGAAGCATGGGTGGCTGAATCAGCGGTTGGGGGAACATCGGAGAAGGGTGTGGATAATGCAGCAGATTGGAAGAGGAAGGAGCCCCGGGAAAAAACTGACGACCCTGGTTTGTTGCAGTCTCAAGCATGGCCCTGTCAGCAAGATGCGCAACCAGTTTCTTCAGCTCCTCCAACGCCGCCTTGTACTGCTCCATCTGGGCCAGGCTCATTTTCTCGATGGGCTGGGCCCACCATAGCTGGGCCTGTGATTCCTTCTTAATGCGGTTCAGCTCCTCCCCGTGCTGCCTCCCCTCCTCCAATTGGGCGTTGATCTGAGTGAGCTGCGCGTTGAGGTCACGCACGTTGGCCAGGCGCTGAGCCTCGATGAACTGCATGGTGCCCATGTCCTGCGACGGGGCCCGCGCGAGATAGCGGTCAATGACGGCGTCGACGTTAGGGTGACCGAAGGAGAAGACCTTCTCTCCGGGGGAGAACACAACGAGTGCAACGTCGGCAGCACAGAGGGTGCAAAGCTCACTGGCTTTCTTGAAGAGCCCGGTCCGGCGTTTGGAGAAGGTGACTTGGAGGTTGCTCTCGTTGCTCATTTTCTTCATCTCGATCTTCTGACGGCCACGGCTTTTCTTTGTATCCGAAGACATGGTGGTGAAGAGAAAAATAAGAAAAAATAATTAAGAAAAAGGTTATAGCTAGGCTTAGGGTATGATGCCGCTGTGGAGAATGTTACCCTATACGGCTCATACAGATGTTGCAGAGTGAAGGGGTGACTTTATACCCATCTTGTCTGACACAACTGGTTTTCTTAGCATTCAAGGGGTTTCTGGATTGGGAGATTCTCAAAATCCCCTTTGCATGGCGGATATGGCAGGAAATTCAATGTACAAAAAAGGCACTCTTATTCAGAGTCTTTTTCTTCAAATAAGACTTTCCAGTGTGATGTCAGGTTCATGAACAAAGAAAGTGAGTGATAATCTCAGAGTATATTTTTTGGTCTAGAAAGCATGAATTCTTTGGGAAGACAATTTTAAGGGACAAAATTCTCTCTCCAAATATTTAATATAATTGCATATCTATCCACCCAAATTCCTACCATTTCTTCAATCTTATAAATTACATCCACTGCTATTGCATATTTATCATCCAAACTTCCCACCACTTGTTAAAGTGAAACAATCTCGCACCAATCAAAAGATATCATTAATTAATATTTCATCATTGAAAAATATAACTTTTTAAATAATTTTGTTAGGGACATAAAAGAAAGTATTACTCATTCCAAAATTGAAAAAACTTTCCTAAAAACATATCTTTCGTTTTTAAATATGCTTGCTTTTTGTTACTTTATTTTTTTAAATATAAAAGTTGCTCAGCTCTTATAAAAATAATATTGAACGAATATTATAGCTCCAAATATATAATTTGGTCCTCACGGTAATTATCTCAATAGCACCCTTTTTGAAAAGATATAAACAAATAAATTCGGATGTGCTTATTTCTATTATACATGATACGATTTATAGACAACTTTAATACTGTACTATTATCTCATTTGAATAGTATAACTTTCCTACACACAACTAACTCTTGGACACTTGACAGAAAACACATCCTAATGTAATTTATTTATCTCCAATATTGGATAGCTATTATTCACTTCTATCCTCCTATATATATAATGTTAAAATATAAATTCTGAGTTAACAATCTATTAAAATAATAAACACACTTTTCTGTTATAACTTTAGATAAAAAAGTTCTTAACTTGTTTTTCACTTACGTATATCATAGTATTACATAACATTTATACTTAATATAATAGTAGTAGTAATTCATAAAATTAATTGCTATTTACATTGCACTTGAAATAATAATGGACCTTATTTATTTATATTTCAAATTTAATAAAGAAATCAATTTCCTCGCTTTCAGTAATAAATATATTACCGGTCAATGGTTACCTTAACACACTTTACTTCAGAATGTTAATTAAGCCTTCTTAAATTAAAAAATAACTATAACAAAAATAAACATCTATATATAACTTTTAGGTGCATCAATATTTAATTTTATTAACACCTTGCATTATAATGCCTTATATAAAAAATTCCTAACCCCTGACGCCATTAATAGGTACAAAATAAATTAAAAAGCTTACCTTCTTATTTATTTAATTTTTTTAAATATAATAAATTGAAGTCGTCATATAAGATGTGGTTTTTTTTATTTTTTATAAAAATAGTAAGTAATCATAAGATTTCTACAGTAATATTTTAAGGTGTGGTGCATGGAGGGCTTCTATGCACCCATTAAATCTTCTGCAACGTCAAAGGCACTAAAAGTGCTAACAGTGAATGAGGAGCACACGGAAGAACCTTAATACACCTTTCATAGATGAAATTACCATGCAACTCCATTACCCAAACGATAACATATTTTACCCTCTAAATGCACTGTGACTATATATTTAGTCAAGCCCTAATTTGAAATCTCCATTTCCGACGCACTCCCTTCCTTTATCCTTTACTTCTTCTCATTCATCTGCACATTACACCTCTTGTTTACATCATGCCTTCTTCAACATTGTGCCTCCCTTCACTGCGCTTCCCCTTTCTTTATGCTTCCCTTTTGAACTACTCATTGAGACAAGCCAACATGTTGTGACGCGAGTCCAACACCATGATTCTAAGAGAAGAAGGCATTGAAAGTGGGTGCACTAATGTCCGGTTCACCGTTCTGAAACATATTTTTTTCCCTGTTATTATGTTTTGTATGATGCATGTTCACACATCCACCCCTGATTTGGTGAAGAAGAGGATTAGAACTTTAGAGCTGCACATGGAAGAAGAAAAATAGGAAAAAATATTTTGAATGAGGTGTTCTAAAAGTATTTATAGATACAAAAATACCTTTAAAAATTAGAGTTGTCAAAATAAGTTAAAACTCGTAAATCAATCCGGCCACCATGGGAGCTGGGTTCAATTAAAAAA